ACATTATTGTAAACTGTTGCAACTACCTCATCAACATTATTGTAAACTGTTGCAACTACCTCATCAACATTATTGCATATAATAAAAATAACTCTTTCAATATACTAAACAATAACAAAATATTTATTTTATATTATCAACTTTTAACATTATTCAAAATATAATACTATATTATAATACATATTACTATACATAATACTATTATAAAGCTATTTACTGAAACTAAAATCTCTAGTTACAATAAAACTGCATGGGTTGAATAAAATAAAATTGCATGGTTTGAACAAAATAAAACTGCATGGGTTGAATAAAATAAAATTGCATGGTTTGAACAAAATAAAACTGCATGGGTTAAATAAAATAAAATTGCATGGTTTGAACAAAATAAAACTGCATGGGTTGAATAAAAAGACCTTTAAAGTTAAGTTGAATAAAAAGATCTTTTACTTTCTCTAAACTCAACAGATTTTTTCTGTAAGTAGATAAAACATTTCAGGCAGATTATGGTTGTCTAAAGCAAAGAAAAATTTTTGAAAATCTTATGCAGAAGTACTTTGGGAAGACTACTCTGTTGACAAACATGATCTTTCTAAAATGTTTTTCTAATTCCAGAAAAAAAATTTTTTAATTCAATTGTTACTTTTTTCAAACAGAATATAAAATTCATTTAAAAAAATTGTTATCTTTAGCAAAGTATGTTGTTTTTTTTCTTCTTGATTTAAAATTAATTCTAGCAATTTCTAACATTTTCTAAATACGTCTAAATTTTATTTATAGAAAATATAAAGAATTAAGTGAACACAAAATAAAAATATAGAAAAAAGAGATAAATATATAGCTATGTTTGGTTTTCTTTATCTAAAAAGAATAATATTGAATAATGCCAAAATCATTATAAGAAACAAGTTGACGACGTTATAAATGAACTAAATGTTAAAAAGAATAATATTGAATAATGCCAAAATCTGTCAGATCAAAACCAAAAAATAAAAAACAAGTGAAACTAGCTGTGTCAGTCCAGTTTAAAAATGCACAAATACAAGTCATACAAGTTTAAAAATTAAGATACACAAATACGAGTGATCATTTTATTATTGTTATGATATTAAGTCATTTTCAAAAAACTCAAAAAACAAAAAATGTTATTATTTGAAGTCATTTTTTTTGCCTAAAATGTTTTTTCTACATGCAGAAAAAATATTTTAAAAGTTTTTTTTGCATGTAGAAATACAATTTAACTTAAATAAATATTTAAGCTAAATCGTTACTTTTTTAAAACAGAATATAAAAATTATTTTAAAAACTTGTTGTGATCTTTACCAAAGTATGATTTTTTTTTCTTAATTTAGACCTAGGTCTAATATTTTCCAACATGTTCTAACATTTTAGAACTAGTTATAAAATGAAGTTAGATGATAAAATAATGAAGATAATAAATGATAAAAACACTGAAGCTAGATGATAAAAACACTGTTATTCTATTGTTATAGCCACTGTTATGATATTAATTATTTTAAAGCAATGTCCTAAACTAACTTTATCGGTTTCTGATTAGCCAATAAGAAACAGTTAAATATTGCTATTGCCAATTGTGTTGTTGCATTACAGAAAAAAAAAAATTATAATGGCTGACAGAGAAATATTATTTCAAACAACATTATTTATATTTCAAATAAGTTTTCTTAAAAAACTACCAGCAAATTATTTGAGTTTTTAAACTTATAGAATGTGCTAATGGAATGCTTTTAAGTTAAAAAAAAAAAACATCATGGCATACAACTTATGTTGTATGCCATGAAGTTTTTGCCATGGTCTTAGGTGAATTTTAAAAGTTACTAAGGTCAGAATTTTAAAACTTAATCTTATTTGCTATTTCAAATAAATTAAAAACAGCTAATAGGCTAGGCTTTATATGGATCTTATTTGGACCTTGACTAATTCTTAGTCCATCCGAGTCCAAATAGATTCAATTTAATTTATTTGTGGTGATCGAGCTGGCCAGGGCAATAAATCTACTTTGTTTTCCTTTGTGAATGTTTTTAATGTACAAGCTGTGTGGGTAGGCACTAAATCTTGTTGAAATTGCCACCATTTGGTTTGATCAATCAGCATGTCCTTATTATGGAACTATATGTATGTTGGAACTATATGTATGTTGGCTGTCCTACTTATGGAATTATATGTATATTGGCTGATTCTGCCTGTATAAATGTTACACACAACTACTCTGTCAAAACTAAAGCCTTAAATACCAACACTCCCACAGCAACCTTGCAACCTTGGTACAAAGCAATTACTATACTTTTTTAATTTAAATCTTTTAACAAGCACTTTTCTATTTCTATTTATTACTTCGAAATTACTTTCATCACTAAAAATTACTTGCTTCCACTTTTTCAAAGATCATCCAATTCTCTCCTTACACCACCTTAATCTTGTAAGGCGATCACTAGCCATCAACATTTCTAACAGCTACATAAACACCATTTTTTTTCTTCTAAATAATATGATTCTTATTGCATTTGAAGAACTATTTAATGTGCTGGTAAGTTCATGATAACTTAACCTCGAATTGATTCTTACTTGAAGAAGTATAAGACTATTTTTGTGCTCAGTATTTTTTCTTTCTTATATTGATGCCACTTGTTGTTTTAAATGTCTTTAGAGTATATCAGGCATAATTTTCTGATATTTTTAACTTTTTTGCTATTTCTCTATTACTGATCATTGAGCCATCCTTTATACTTATTATTTGCCATTTTGTTGTTACCCTTGCTGCTTTTGACTCATTTCTATTTACCTTAACTAAGGCAAGGCTTCACGTCTTCGTTATTAGCTTTTCTTAAAATATATATATATATATATTTACAATATTGGCCAAAAGTTTGAATCCACCTCAAATTTTTGGCCAAAACTGAAAATTTTTTGCATTGTTTATTTGTAATTTGTTTATATTGTTATACTATTGATTGATTGTTAGAAAAATTGCTTGACTCTTTTTGATACTTTTAATCTATTTGTGCTGTATATTTTGTGTTTTTGTGTATTCAAATTCAGAGGTGGATTCAAACTTTTGGCCAATACTGTATATATATATATATATATATATATATATATATATATATATATATATATATATATATATATATATATATATATATATATATATATATATATATATATATTATTTATTTACTTTTTTTTCTAATTTAGCATTTTTTTTGGCAATTCTTAAAAGTAATGTTCATGTTTGTCAAATGTCAAAGTAATGGTAAACACTAAATTTATAGAATGATCTTGAGATATAGTATTAATAGAACTTGCTCTTTCTCGCAGAGATTTTAATTTAACTTAAAACACTTTTGATTTTAAATTACTTTAAATCTCTGCGTGGAAGCCAATAATTTTTTAAAAGGTTGTTAAAGCAAAAAGTTGAAAAAGGGAAAAGACGTTAAAGAGAATTTTTTCTTCATTCTTTTTTTATAACAAAACAGCCTAGTTTTTATCTTTGTTTTTGAAACATTGCACAAAATTAATTAAATTATTATTTAATCAACAATTTTATATTTTTAATTTTACTGCTTTAAGTATATTAAAATATATATTAAATCGTTTTTATTATACATTTTTTTTTAAATTAGTTAATTAATGCTTATAGAAACAAGTAACTTTTTTGCTTTAACGTTTTTCGCTTTAACATTGAACCTTTTACAGTTATATTTTCTTTGACTTACTGAATGGATTAAGTACATCACAGTAAATTTACTTATAAAACACAGAAAAGTTACTACAGTAACTTACAGTTACTAAAATATTAACTTATTAATTATATTAATTTACTTACAATACTCAAAGACTCGCAAAAGTTTGCCATACAAATGTTTCTATTTATATCTTATATGTTGTTAACACATAATATAAGCTTTTAACTAAAAATTAATTTAACAAAAATTTTTGAATAGAATATGAAAAAGCGACACCATTTTCTATATTTTTATTTGATTAAAATTTTATCAAAACTGGAACGTTTCTTTTAATATTAGCACAACATCAGCTTGCAGGTCTTCAACAGGGTGCGTGAATTTAATTTTTTTGAAAATTTTGCGATAAAAATTTAAAAATGAAAAATATTTTAACAGCTATTTTAATCACTCTAACTGCAACTTAAACTTGAAATTATAGCTTAAACTTAAACTGTAAAACAGTTGCTATTTTAACAGCATGCTATTTTAAACTCCATCAATTGAGAAAAATATAGGATAATATTTAAATGAGATAATATGTTAAAAAAATAAGTTACACACAAAAAATACAATTTTATAGAAACGTGCATATCTAATCTAACCGCAAAAAATAAAAATTTTCTAATCTAATCACAAAAAATAAAAATTTTCTAATCTAATCACAAAAAATAAAAATTAAAAATTATTATTTGCGATTAGATTTTTATGCGTTAATTCGATATATAAATTAACATATATATTAATAAAATAACTATAAATAAAAGTTGGGTTAAGAAGTAGAATGGAAATCAATTATAAAAATTTTTTTTTAATTTTTTTTTTTTTGCAACCTTTTTCAGTATGTTGTACAAAAAAAAAGGATTATGTCCAAAAATCAAAATTAAAACATAAAACAACTGTTATAGGTGCTCATAAAATTAATAGCAATTGCTCAACATTTTTTTAGTTGAAGCTTTTTTATTTACACATTTTTCTCATATCTGAACAATTGCTCAGAGTAAAAGCTTTCTTGCAAAAAAGAGCAATTGTTCAAAAGTTTTATTCACTTAAATATAAGCAATCACTCCAAAAATTTTTATTCACTTGAAGTTGAGCAATCACTCCAAAAACGCTCAGTAAAAGAAATTGCTCTTTTTTATTCATCCAGCCTGAAGAATGATAAATTAAAACAAAAAAATTAATAAGTTTGTTAAATTTTTACAAATATTATTAAGAAACATTATTATTATTATAAACAATCTAACAGCAAAAGCATACCTTTTGTAAAAGTTTTATACAATTGAAACTGTTTTGGTCGTTTGAGTCATAACCTACTTGCTTACATAATAAACCAATAAGCTCCCAACCAGAGCCAACAACAAATTCCTGTAATGTAAAGTTTTACACAATTTTTATTGAACTATATGTTTAATAAAATGAAAAAAATAAATCGATAACTGTTTAAAAAAAATCATAGAACATTAAGAAAATAATAAAATTAAAAAAAACCTTCCATTACTTCTGTTATTTAAAAATTAATATCTACATTTTACTTAGCTAACATATTGAAATTTTACAAAGTATGTTATTTGCAGCATTCAAAGTAGCAGCAAGTTATTTGCAGCAAAGTAGCAAATAATATAAATAATAATAGATAATAAATAATAATAAATAATAAAAATAGCAAACTATTCTAATTATAATACTAATAATAATAATAATGATAATATAAAATAATTATAATTGTTGTTATTATTATTATTATTATTATTATTATTTAAGAATGAAAATGAACAATGAAAAGCATAAGTTACATCACTCCTACGCACAGTATCACTCCTACGCACAGTATCACTCCTACGCACAGTATCACTCCTACGCACAGTATCACTCCTACGCACAGTATCACTCCTACGCACAGTATCACTCATACGCACAGTTATATCACTCCTACGCACAGTATCACTCCTACGCACAGTATCACTCATACGCACAGTATCACTCATACGCACAGTATCACTCATACGCACAGTATCACTCCTACGCACAGTATCACTCATACGCACAGTAAAAAACTCTAGTCCACAAAAAAAAAACTAATGGTTTTCAAATGTACAACTGTCACTGGTGTTGATACTCACTGGTAGAACTAGTTACCTTATTTGAAACCATACCCCCAACATGTATAAAATATACAAATGGCCAAATTGACACTGAAAACTTTGAAGTATCTTTCCTAGTATATATCCAAAGAAGATAATACAACAGTTATGAATACTAGCAATAACATAGAGGCTGATGAAAATAACCTGATATTAAAAAATAATTGCCAACTGCTACTAAGGATTTATGTTCTCCTAATAAAACAACTTTAACTACCAAAATTGCACCACACATAACTTGACATACTAGATATTACAAACCATTCATACCAAATTAAAAGCGTTTGTCTAAGCTTAATTTGTAATAAAACTTAACTAAATAAGAACACAAAATTTTTTTTTGAAGGTTGAAAAACCTTGTCTTATTTAATTAAAATAAAACTTCTATTATGGATGTAACTCTTTATTTGAAATTTATTTTCATACAATATTCCAAGGGATTATACATACCCTCGTTGTCAAGTATATACCTATATATATACAAAAAAAGACTTGTGTATAACCGGCTTTTTTGAAAACTTTTTTTTAACTTCGGGTTAATTCCTGGAATCCACAGTAAAGATACAACATTATTTGATGCAATTGATGAATGTTGAGTTTCAATATTTTGTTTTTTATTATGTAAACTTTCTTCAGTGGTTTTTATAATATTTTCCAGGGTTGCTTTTTCATAACCATTTTCTACAAAAATATTAACTAGAAATAATAACTCTTGTTGAATATTATTATCAGAGCATAAATATAATGCCTTATGAACAAAACCTTTGAAAAACTTGTCTTATTTAATATTCTATCTTTTCAATCTCAACTTGATATTTCATCGAAAGGTGAAAGATCTTATCTTATTTAATATTCTATCTATTTAATCTTAAATTATTTTAATCTTACATTTATATTATGCATACTATACATGATTGTGCTGCCAGTGAAGAACCCAGAGATTATTTGGGGATACCGCCATTTGAGGCAATGTTGAGGGGAGGAGGAGGGGGGAGGGGATGCTTTTGAGTTCCTTTCCCCCTACTCCTCCTCCTTCTCCCATAGTGGTGCTGCGACAATGATTTTTAATAATCATTTTTTTAATCATCGTTTTAATCATTTATGTTTATCTTGTTTAGTTTTATCCTAAGATAAGGAGTTAATTTAATGGCATTTTTTTGAATACATTTACCGATGTAACTTAAGATAGGATAAGACAGCTATTTTATGTGAGTCTTTAATATACCATGCTACTAGTGAAGATTTATTGAAAATTGTTTAAAGTATTTTAAACGTTTATTAACAATGTTTTAGTAAATTAAATTTTAGTAGTTGTTAATGTTTTAAATAATTAGTAATTAAATGTTTAAAAAACAATTTTTAATCAATATTTACTTTACATAATATTAAATTGCGTAATATTTGTAAAACTAACAAAACAGTTTTATGTCTTGTATTCGAATTTAAAACATAAGCATTTAATAAATATATTCAATAAACTAGTCGATAAAAAACATTAGCATTTAATGAGCATTTTTAATTTTAATTGTAAAATTTTGATTTAAGTATTAGCAAAACTGTTTACTTAACTTTTACTGAAGGTTAATAATTTTTAAAGTAATTTTAAAATGCCTTTTAAGTTAAAGATAATTAAAGAAGAGATAATTACGGTAAACATAATAAAAATTTTGTTTATTTTATTAAAAAGCATATTATATTTTTTTAAATATTTTTTTTTAATCATTAAGTAAAATTTTAAAAAATACGTTTAATAAATAAATTAGATTTACTACGGGTTATTTTAAACAGATTATATTAAAACTCTTATTAAGATAATGTAATCATTATTTTTACTATTTTAAAAATCAAAAATAATATGGAAAAGAAACAAAACTTTCTGAAAAAAATTACATTTCCTTTTTTTGTTTTCCTCATGTAAACTAAAATAGCAAGCTAAAGATCAAAAGTTCATCATTCAAACATTAAATTTGCACAATAGGTATTAAGACTGAAATTTTTTACTTTTGCTTATTTATTATTAACAGTTATAACAGTTTACTCTTAATTGCCAAAAAACAAAAGCTAACTTTACTCTGAATAGATTTTCTTAAATCGTTTTAACATTCGAGAAAGCAAATTTTTATACATTCTATTGTTATAAAATTTTTCAACAAGTTTTTAAAATTAAGTTTCATAAAGACATTCATTTTTTAAAAACTAACATTCAGTTAGCAATCGAAGAAAAGTTACATCATGTAATTACATAAAAAAGCAATTTCTTTTTAATTCATTTTATTTTCCTGGAGTTAGCTAAAATAAACTGAAAATTATTTATATACTACTGCATTAAAAACTGAAAATTTTTTTCCTATTTTTTCAATAAAAAATTATAAAATAAAAATAATTTTTGATCACTTTTTTTTGGGCGCCCATACCCCTCCAACCGTACTAAAACAGGTCTGGGCTTGTCCCTGGCTACTGTATATTTTAATAATATAAAAATATATAAATATAACTAGGGATGTAAACAGTAAAATAAAATAAAATTTACTTTATTGAAATTGATTCATATTATAGCATAAAAATATGGGAGCATAAACTTGTGCTCCAAAAGGATGGAAATTTTTATTTATTTTCTCCTGCTTCAATAACCTTAAATCAGAAGTTATAATAAGGATTTAAATTTAGGATGCAGTACAACCTAACAAAATGAGAGTTGTGGTTCAAAATAACTTGATTTTATTGTTAAAAAGTGTAAAAAATCTAAAAATATATAAAAGTCGTTTACAACTAGTGAGTTGAAAACCTTAGCTTAAACCTCCAGTTCTGATAAACCCCTGATACACCTCTATTACATCCCGTTAATAACCATAAATTTTTAATGTTTACAATAATGTTTTACAACTTAAATTTGTCTCAATCAGGTTTACAACACTTTTGTAAATAGGTTATATATTTATGATCATTTTTATTTAATTTTAATTTTATTTCATTTTATAATTCAGGCAAATGTGTAATCTATATTAAGCATTTTTTCATTTTTTTGTGTTTTCTGATTATTTGCGTATATTTAAAAACAATAAATAAATATTCCACATGAAATCACCTAGTTTTTTCAAGTGCCCCAGGTATAACCTCAAATTTACTTCAAATTTTGACCACCCACAGCTTTTGAAAAAAAACACAATCCTAAAAATTTCAGCTTGATTGACCAAACCGTTCGAAAGTTATAGTTGAATCAATATAGACAAAAATCAGCAAAATTTGAGTATCTGGAGCTTACAGTAGATTTTTTTGATTTTTAACTTTTTAAATAAAATAGACGATCACCTGAAATGCTTTAAGGCAATAGTTTTCCACCCAAGTTATCTACTTTTACAGGTATTTTTGTCTGATTTTAAACAATTTTTGAGTTCTTGTACCTCAAAGTTGTTAAATAACGCAAAATTAGAAAAATTTTGGAAGCTTTAATGTACTACAGTTCAATACCAACAAAAAACTGTGCCAATTTTTTGTTACTTTTGTGTACTTGGAGTAACCACTTGTAGATATAAATTAAAATTGTATGTTAAAAGTTATTTTAGCACTTGCAGCAGTCTGTTGAAATATTACTTTTTTTAAAAGATATAATAATTTACACTCACTTTGTAGGCATAGAAAGTAGCACAGACAGTTAAAATGAATTATAAAACTTTTTACTGGCAAGGTTCTATATATAGACAACCACCAAAAAAAGTTAAAGACCTATACTTTATCTTATGACATGATTGTAGCCCTATGACTTAGGTGTATACTTTTAATTTTTCTCTAAATAAATATAATCATTTTTCCCTAAAATAACATTATCAGTGTTTTAACTTAATTTATTTGATATAATTTGATAATATCTATTTTGTGCATATAATTTAATTCTAATGATATAATTTTACCATGGTTATAATTTGAGTGTAAAATACTTGGCAAAAAAAGATCCTTCAAACTTTTAACCTAGTAAATATATTGCATGTTTTTACAATGATGAATGGTACATAAGCTTGTGCTTGAGATTTGTAATGAAAACCAAGATGGTAATGGGAGATTCCATGTGAAAACATCCAGAACATGCAACCCTAAGTCTCAGATTTTGCTGATTTTTAAACCACTTAAAGTAAGTTATGAACATCCTGAAAATACGATGGTCTATCTTCAATCCTAAGTTCCTAAGATACAGCTATTTTAAGTTTGCCATCAACCAACAAAAATCTG